CCCCCCCCCCCCCCCCCGTGATTTAAAAAGTTCTTGATTTGTTCTGAAACATTAAAAAGCTGGTTCAAGGCCTACATAAGGCAGTCGCCAGGTAATGGCCCCTGGTCGGTGCTTTTTCTCCAGATACTCTGGTTTTCTTCCACCACCTAATACCTGGCACATCCTTAAATGACCATAGCTGTTAATGGGACGTAAAACACAAACAAACCAAATCAAACTTCTGAGGTATTAGACTTGCACAAGTCCAATATTTTAGAAATTTTCAAAATCACACAGAATGTGAATACTGTGTATGAGGATTTAATGTTCTGATGAGCGGGTTTATGGGGTTTACGCCTCAATGGGTCTTTGCAGTTAATAAAATTGGTCTCAAGACCCATTGAGTTCTATACCCCATTAACCTCAACAGAAAAAAATAATCTTGAAATATACATCTGAACTACAAAATTAGAAATTAAAATGAGTACAACATGAACTTCTTTACTGATATCAATGTGTTGGCAAATTTGTATTTTATTGTCGTATTGATGGGTATTTATATTGTACATTCACTGTCAGCCATTTTCTCAGAACCATCACCAGATTTGAAAGAAATGAGATCGATAATCATGATTTACCAATTTTTATAGTGTTGTGTAATACAATTACATGTCGTTTCTATTCCTGCAATGAGAGTTTGCCACATACTTTACCTTTATAAACAATGTTTATATATTTTCCGTAAGCCGCTCTCCTTTCCCCACATTGTAGAGATGGAGAACCAGCGTCTATATATGGAGAAAAAGTCGGAGTTTGTCGCTGGCCGAGAGGATCTTCTGAAGATGATGCTGAGCTATGCCAAGGGTGACCCTTTGGACGGTGTGCAGTTATCAGGTCTCCAGAACGTTTTAACAATTTTGAAAAATCCGAAGTGTAATGAGTTATTGTCTTCAAAAATGAAAGAAAAGATGACGGGTGTTTGTTTAATCATTCAAGCAATGAAATAAAAACGGATTCTGCATTATAATTGATACTGATCATGAACCCTTTTTACAAAATCAGTCCAAAGATTATTGCAGATTTCATGTACAAATCATTTTAATAATGTCATCTTCATGTTGGTAAAATATAGAGCCGCCAACTCATACAATTTAGGTGTAATGAGAACAATTTTGAGTTTTGGATTACGTCTGTACAAATTCCAAATTAAATTACGATTTTTCAAAAACTCAGCTTCAATGAAAAAGAGTTCTGTTGGTCGAAAGTCAATTGCAGTCACGGCAGTGATTTCATAGAAAATAACGTCATTGATCTTAAATTGGTCACACAATCTGAAGTCAAACAGCCTCAGGAATTAGGTATTAATAGAAGTATTCTAAGAGTTTTTTTATTCGCTTTAGACATTTTTTCTGCTCTTCTTAATAATTGATAAATTTTCTTTTTTTTCTCAGATGGAGAGAACAAATCTTTCGTCAGTAAGTATTACAGATTGAGATTAGGGAAAGACAAAATTAAATACTGGCACAAAGATTACCTGTCTATAGAGATCCTTTGTTTTGTTTAAAGAAGACTGCCTATCTATTAACCCTTTCACCCCAATGTAACTTTAGTAGACTCTACCATGCATTGATATGGATGAGTCCATTATGGTATACAGTGGTGAAAGGGTTAAGAAACAATATTGAAGGTATTTGAGTTCAACAATCTGGATCATTGTTTTGTTCAAAAAGGGAAATGGATATTGTGGAGCTAAGAAGAAAGTCTTGTTTGAACAGAAGTTTCTATCAAACAAGGTTAACTCATTCACCCCTGAAATTTCATAATAAACTATTCCAACCTTTTAATTGGAAGAGTTCAAATGTGTTTTCAGGGGTGAATGAGTTAAGACAGGTTTTGCTGCACTGATAATAGTTTTATATCATGGAGGAAGTTTTTTGCACACAATTTATAATTCATATTTAACAGGGGATCCTGTTTACTGGGGAGTAGAAAAGGGAGATAACCCTGTCCTTTGCCTGAGTGGGCCTGTGGGCTACGGCAAGTCCACAGTGATGGCAAAACTCGTGCAGAACGCCCTGAAGGTCAGTGAGAAGATACTGTCTGTGCAGTTGTTTTAGGTTAACAAATAACATTATCACATGAGTGTATTATGTCCACATGACCGTATACTTTGGTCTTAACTCATTCACCCCTGAAGACACATTAAAACCCTTCCAATTCAAAGATTGGAATAGTTCATTAAGAAATTTCAGGGGTGAATGAGTTAAATACCATCGTTTTGATGTCACAAAGAAACAATGTATTATTGCAACGTTAATTCATGGCAGAAATCCTAATGCAGCAGTTGTTTCTTACTTTTCCACTCGGATATCTGCCTCTGTTTATTACCTTTTGTGGTGCTCGTGAGGAAAAGAATTTCAAACTTCTCATTTCCTATGATATTTTTACAAAGCTTAATATAAGTATTGGTTAAAAATGTTTTGCGTATCACATTAATATTTAACATTCAATGAAAATTAAATCTATTTTGTAAAGAATAATTCAACAAATTTAGATGTAACTTTATATGTATAATTGTAACAGTCTGGAATCCCTGTGATCTACCACTTTGTGGGATGTTCCTCGGACAGCAGACTGACCGAGAAAATGTATCGACGAATCATCAAGTCCATCACAGGGGAGACATTAGGTAAGGTATTGTGTCTATATAGCTAGCAGGTACAGGGGAGACATTATGTAAGGTATCGTGTCTATATAGCTAGCAGGTACGGGGAAGACATTAGGTAAGGTATCGTGTCTATATAGCTTGCAAGTACAGGGGAGACATTAGGTAAGGTATCGTGTCTATATAACTAGCAGGTACAGGGAAGACATTAGGTAAGGTATCGTGTCTATATAGCCAGCAGGTACAGGGGAGACATTAGGTAAGGTATCATGTCTATATAGCTAGCAAGTACAGGGGAGACATTAGCTAAGGTATCGTGTCTATATAGCTAGCAAGTACAGGGGGGACATTAGGTAAGGTATCGTGTCTATATAGCTAACAGGTACAGGGGAGACATTAGGTAAGGTATCGTGTCCATATAGCTAGCAGGTACAGGGGAGACATTAGGGAAGGTATCGTGTCTATATAGCTAACAAGTATAGGGGAGACATTAGGTAAGGTATCGTGTCTATATAGCTTGCAAGTACAGGGGAGACATTAGGTAAGGTATCGTGTATATAGCTAGCAAGTACAGGGGAGACATTAGGCAAGGTATCATGTCTATATAACTAGCAGGTACAGGGAAGACATTAGGTAAGGTATCGTGTCTATATAACTAGCAAGTACAGGGGAGACATTAGGTAAGGTATCATGTCTATATAGCTAGCAAGTACAGGGGAGACATTAGCTAAGGTATCGTGTCTATATAGCTAGCAAGTACAGGGGATACATTAGGTAAGGTATCGTGTCTATATAGCTAACAGGTACAGGGGAGACATTAGGTAAGGTATCGTGTCTATATAACTAGCAGGTACAGGGAAGACACTAGGTAAGGTATCGTGTCTATATAGCTAACAGGTACAGGGGAGACATTAGGTAAGGAATCGTGTCTATATAGCTAACAAGTACAGGGAAGACATTAGGTAAGGTATCATGTCTATATAGCTAGCAAGTACAGGGGAGACATTAGCTAAGGTATCGTGTCTATATAGCTAGCAAGTACAGGGGGGACATTAGGTAAGGTATCGTGTCTATATAGCTAACAAGTATAGGGGAGACATTAGGTAAGGTATCGTGTCTATATAACTAGCGAGTACAGGGGAGACATTAGGTAAGGTATCGTGTATATAGCTAGCAAGTACAAATAATCAAAGAAGTATAGAGAGAGAAGGTACCTTCTGAATCTAAGGGGGAGACATTAGGTAAGGTATCGTGTCTATATAACTAGCGAGTACAGGGGAGACATTAGGTAAGGTATCGTGTCTATATAGCTAACAAGTATAGGGGAGACATTAGGTAAGGTATCGTGTCTATATAGCTTGCAAGTACAGGGGAGACATTAGGTAAGGTATCGTGTATATAGCTAGCAAGTACAAATAATCAAAGAAGTATAGAGAGAGAAGGTACCTTCTGAATCTAAGGGGGAGACATTAGGTAAGGTATCGTGTCTATATAGCTTGCAAGTACAGGGGAGACATTAGGTAAGGTATCGTGTATATAGCTAGCAAGTACAGGGGAGACATTAGGCAAGGTATCATGTCTATATAACTAGCAGGTACAGGGAAGACATTAGGTAAGGTATCGTGTCTATATAGCCAGCAGGTACAGGGGAGACATTAGGTAAGGTATCGTGTCTATATAGCTTGCAAGTACAGGGGAGACATTAGGTAAGGTATCGTGTATATAGCTAGCAAGTACAAATAATCAAAGAAGTATAGAGAGAGAAGGTACCTTCTGAATCTAAGTAGTAGGTAAGGTATCGTGTCTATATAGCTAACAAGTATAGGGGAGACATTAGGTAAGGTATCGTGTCTATATAGCTAACAGGTACAGGGGAGACATTAGGTAAGGTATCGTGTATATAGCTAGCAAGTACAGGGGAGACATTAGGTAAGGTATCGTGTATATAGCTAGCAAGTACAAATAAGCAAAGAAGTATAGAGAGAGAAGGTACCTTCTGAATCTAAGTAGTGCCAGAAGTCAATGTGTAGAGGGTTGGTAATCCCATTTTACCAATAAAGTTTCTTCAGTTCCTTCAGATTACCAGGTTTCCGGTATGTGTAAGATTTTAAATACGTATACTGGTAAGCATTTGTTAAAACAGCCACAACTAATGAATGTATAAACTGCTGACTTTTTTTGTTCTTTTCTTAATTTAAATGTTTTTTTCATACAAATACATATTTGCACAAAGTATATTTACAATATTACAATCTTCACACATGTATGGCTACCATGGTAACAGATGACATGCCTCCGGAGCAACAGGATTGTATGCAGTTTTACAAGGACAAGTTCCGTGACTGTCTGCCTCTACTGAGAGAAGATGGCAAGGATACACTACTGATCATAGATGCCATAAATGAGGTAAGAAAATTCGCTGGTTTTTCCCCCAGCACACTATCATATTGGCCGAGAGGAGTGATTAATATAAGTTGCAAAACTTGTGCAATATTTTGCTAAATAACAACAAAGTTTGTATTTATGTGTAAACTATATTTTTAGGAAGAAATTTCTTAAATAAAACATTGTTTTTAATTTTAGTACATTGATTCAAATCAGAAAAGGAAAAAAATGCACCACAGCTTCAATTTATTTTGCATTGAACTGGTGCTATGATATTTGTGTGTTACATGATTACACTAAATATTTTCTGTTGAGAACAATACTTGTACACAGGAGTAAATACCAACTGTCACTTCTTTTGTGATCTTGTGTTCATTTCATTTCATTTGTTTGATATTATTTTTTATTTATTTTTCATTTTCACAGTTAGTAGACTACAACGCATACAATCACCTGTCATGGCTGCCCCCAATGCTCCCTGGGAAGGTTCGGTGTATAGTTAGTACAGCAGACACCCATTCCCCAACCGTACACCGACTCCAGGAACATCCCTGTTACCATGCCAACATGACTCCCCTGTCGACCGTAGATGCTCGCCTCATCATCACCCATAGACTAGCCAGATTTAATAAGGTACAACAACCTGTATAAACCAGACCCTGTATAATATGTAAACCTGTATAAACCAGACCCTGTATACTATGTTAATTGTATAAACCAGACCCTGTATAATATGTAAACCTGTATAAACCAGACCCTGTACAATATGTAAACCTGTATAAACCAGACCCTGTATACTATGTTAACTTGTTTAAACTATACCCTGTAAAATCCATAAACATGTTAAATCCAAATCCTGTATAATATGTAAATCTGTGTAAACCAGACCCTGTATAATCTGTAAACCTGTATAAATAAGACCCTGTATAATATGTAAACCTCTATAAACCAGACCCTGTATATCTTGAACAAATTCCTGAAAGTATATTGTGCCACTGAAGTTTTTCCTCCTCAAGTTCTCTACCTGTTTATCAGACCTTGAACAAGGTTCCTAATGAACTCATTTCCATTTAACTGTATATTCTTTATTTAACCCAGTGTAAAACAGACTTAGCTGGGTTCTGATTGTTTGCATTTGTATATATATAAATTTAACTCTGTATGAACTTAACATTTGTATAAAATTTATATTGAACAAGGTGCCCTATGGAAAAAATTCTGTGTACATTTTTAGATACTAAGCTTTGTTATGCTTTTATGAAAAGTCATATTAAGAAAAACTTTGTTATTGAAACAGACATTTCTGTTGAACTACAATAGACATTGGGTGGAGTTTTTACAGGAAAATGAAGTAACATTTGTTGGCAATTTTACTGAGCTTCAAAAGATATTGGATGGACTTATTACCGGGCATGGGCTTATTACTGGATAGATATAGTAATCTTTATTACGAGAATTCAAATTTTAGGTGAGAATGCGCTCTGTGATTGAGAAAGTGGGGCATGTTTTAAGACAGAAATGTGAGACCTTTTTATTAACAGACACTTGCTCCAGATGAGATAGACCAGGTTCTATCCCAGTCCTGTGTACACAATCCTCTCTGGGTGTGGCTACTCACTGAGGAACTGCGCATGTTTGGAGACTTTCGGACGTTGTCTACCAAGATTAAGAGTGTTTCCGACTCCGTCACCAGTCTTCTTTCCTCTATCATCAAACGACTCATCACTGATGATGAAACAGGATACATGGAGAAGGTATTTTATTGGCATTTAAATAAAAAGAAAAAAATATTAAAAGAAGCAGTTTTGTTACTAAAGTGTTAACTGTATACCAGGAATTTTTTCATTGTTTTGGGAATACTATTATTGACCTCGTAAAAATATAATACAGGTATATATTATGGGTGGTCGGGTGGCGCAGTGGATAGCACACTTGCCTTTCACCAAGGTGGCCGGGGTTCCATTCCCCGATCGACATGAAAAGATTTGGGGTCACCTGCCCGATCACGTGGGTTTTCTCCGGGTACTCCGGTTTCCTCCCACTCTCAGATCCCCCACGCGCTAACATCCGTGCCAACAAGAGTGATTAACATAAGTTGTAAAAACTTGCTTCATAATTGTTGTAAAATAACTAAAGTTTATATATATATCTATGTAGATCAGTATTATTAGAAAAAATGAATATAAATTTCTAGGTTGATAAATACTACTATCGACTTCATAAAAAGATAGAAATTGTAATTATTTAATACCACTATTAACCTTATCGAGTGATGTAATAATGTTCATATGTAACAGGCTCTTTGTATGATTGCGTGTTCACGAGGCGGGGTACCAACACGTGACCTCACAAATCTCCTTGGTGACGTCGACCAGAAGGAGTCACTTCCTGCTTTGTACCTGGCCAAGATACGACGCCTCCTCAAGCCCTACGTTAGGACAGTAGGCACTCGGGAATTTCTCACCTTCAGCCACTCGGCCATACACCAAGTAAGCATCACCAGTTTAAAGCCAATGCAAGGGCATCATAGAGATTGCACAGACACTATTAAAAGAATCTTGCTTAAAAAATGACATTAACAACCTGAAAATGTATATGACTAGGTGCGTTCAAATTTATATTCAAAGATTACAGCAAACATCCAAGTGTAACACAAATAATGAAATCTCTTGACCTGACACCCAACAGACAACACAGACTAACTGTACTTGCAAAGACATTAAAAAGATAATGACCTCTGTTACATGTGGTGCTCAATTAAATATATCCACTTTCTACTCTTCTTTTCAATTGGTATCTCCCTAAGAAACCGCCTTCGTAAACCTCAGGTGTATAAGGACGTATTAGAAAAGTAAGCCCCATGCGTAATACTCTCTTGGATTTTAGGTCGCAGAAGGAACCCCTTTTTACCGGTATCTATTTTTAGACCAGTAGAAAACACCATTCTAACCTATGAACTTTCTTCTATATTTAGGCTGTAGAGGAAACCCTGTTGACCTCTAGAGATACGATCAAGGCTTACCACAGCACCATGGCAGAATATTACCTGACGTGGAGTACAGACAAATACGTCAACCTGGAGACTGTCCCGTACCACTGTACACAGGCAGGACTCAAGAGCAGGTAGAAACAGATTATCCAGTTTGTAATGTTACATTTAGGGGATAATCGTGATGTATTTTGAGATTTGCGATGGTTTATCGTGATTAAACGTTTGCGAATTGAATTTACCTGTCAATTTGGAACAGAACCAGTCAAATAGGTGTTTGGAAAAGCATAATCCTAATTCACATCAGCTAAAACCAACTAAACTTATGATGATTTAAGACATATTTGTGTCTTTTTAGTCCACCTGGCTGATCAAATCACCTTTTGTCCGTGGTCCATTTTCTGTTGTCCATCTTTAAACAATTCTTGTGATGGTTTATTTAAAAAAGTGTAGCATGGATAATTCTCAAATTTAGTATTTAGATTCCTTATGTTCTAAAATTGTGCATGTGTGATTTTGGGACTATTTGGAAAAAAAGATGACGGCCAGGCATCCATCTTGGATTGCTCGAGTTTGTTATCCCTGTTTCTCATGAAGTACTTGACAGAGATTTCTCAATGATCTTACGTAGATTCCTTATGGTCAATAGTTGTGTTTGTCTGATTTTGGGACTCTTCGAAAGGACAAAATGGACACCAGACAGCCACATTGGATTTTGATAGTTCAAGTTTGTGATCACTATAGCTCAATGAATACTTAACAGATCTTTCTCAAATTTCTTATGTACGATCCTTATGTTCCATAGTTGTGTATATCTGATTTTGGGACTGATTGGTAAAACAAGATGGCAGCCAGCGCTGGCAGAAGAAATAAATCATGTCTTCACTTTGAATGAAAACTCCTACCCAGCAGTATGAAATTGTAATCAAATGTTTAACCACAAGATGCATCTTTTTTTGACAAGACTATAAATCTGAAAGATATGAGAAAAGAAGAGAAATGAAGGGATCGATAATCAAACTTACATAGAGCTAATGAAGGTCCCTAAGATGGATCTCTGGTTTTCTAAAACCTGGATCACTCTGCTGAGGTTTTGTGGTATCATGTCACTAGCAATCAGAGTGAGGCGTAGCTACATTGACATTTCTAGTTCACACTATTGTAATTGTGATATCATTAAAAATCAATTTCATGATGTGTCATGGACAGTCAGGGTCATTGATGTCAATTCAAATCACCATCCTGGCTTTAAAGCAAATTAAGTTTATTTGTGAATGCTGTATCATGGTTATACAGTGGAAAATTATTTAGATTCACCAGTTAAATCTCAGATGAATTTCATTGAGCATTTCACTGACGGAGAAAGGCAGAAATATTCTATCAGATCTGGACTGTACCGAGTTCCTAAAGACTTGCAGTGAGCTTATGCTGTACCTTGGCCTCCATCGTCCACCTGTTCGTCAAAAATTTCCTTTAGATGACCTCATCTTCTGAACTTCTTAACAGAATTTCACTCAGTGTGTGTCTGATTATACTTCTTGCAGACTCGTCGACTTTCTACGCAAATCTCCGGATTCTATAAATATGCCAGACTTTGTCAGAGCCAAGTACCTACAGGTGAGTATTGTGTTGACGTCTACAGGTGAGTATTGTGTTGACGTGACCAATTACAGATCCCTGTACCACTTCCAAAAACTGTAACTACGAATTGGAAACTTTTTTTATCGGCTAAAACAGATATGATATACGAGATCTGAAAAAGAAACCAAAACCTTTCAGAACTTTAATGAAAAATAACAAAAGTGAAACAAACAAACAAACCAACAATAGTGTTTTGAGAGTAAAAAAAATACATTTTAGCCTGACTTGGATTCGAACACTGAACCAACGATAGCAATACACTGACTACTGGACACTTGGGAAATTTTCCCTGCAGTATAATTCTTGCCTTTTTTGCCCTCTGTAATGGCACATAATTATGACTATTTGCAGATCTTTCTACAAATGTTTTGAAAATTGATCAATACATTTTTGGTTTTTGTTATTTAGGACCTTCGTTGCAAGAACCTTGCTGACCCAGTTTTACCTAACATCATGGATGTTGTTATCTGCATGGCTTGCTCCATGAAGAAATCCTCCTTTGGCCCCCGATTTTACAACAAAACATCCTGTGTTGTCTGCGGGTCACAGGTATTTGACAGCCAGCTCCGGAAAAACACTGCTACGGCTCACTACTGTGGTTTCCACTCCGTAGGACACAGCCCAAGGATGGGAAAGTGCCATGTTTGTAGTAATGTTGTCGGAAAAGATCCCGACGGAAAACAGAAATTCGGAACGGTGTGCGGACAATTATGTAATAGATGTAGCTTTGGAAATGATGCCAAAAAATGTTGTATGATCTTAGCCGATTAGCCATGTAAATGTATGGTTGTTTATATATAGACGTTTAATGGTGTGATAATATATATAAAGAAGCGTATTTATTTCATTGGCCGCTTGCTTAAACAATCAACTGTGATCATAGTTGTACTTGTAGTGAGCAGGTTGAAAAGGTAGTCCGATTTCTTGCCCAGTTTTCTAATAGAAGACGAAGATCGAATGTCCGCAGTATACATTAAGTGTATTCTTTGTCCCACACTTAACGAATTCCCATTCCTGCCATAAGTATCGCATAAAAGCAAAAAGAGAAAATTGAAAGACTACCGAAGTGTCAACTAACCAGTAATTCGAACTCAACTGTTGTGGTCCAATCAGTCTTGTTAATTATCAATTTAAAATAAAAACAAAATCTTTTTAGTCTCTTTTCGTCAAAAGCTTATGAACTGGAACCCATTCTAAGACCCTGTTCTTACAAATCCATTCCTATGCCAAGGACACATAGCAATTTGAGAATGAAACACAGAATGTGCGAAATTCTCAAAATATGTCTACAATAATAAACTAGCCAGTAAGGAATAATGAAGTGTTGTTACTTGAAAAAGTATATGTAAATGAGGTTAATGTATTTTCAAAGGCCCCCTCTAAGGAGTCAAACCTGGGACTTCTGGTTTACTAGTCTTACGCTCTACCGAATGAGAAATTTGCGGTATCCAGGTCGCTAGTATTTTACAGGAGTGACATACTCCCTCTCCAGGAATGAACTCGTCCAGACTTTTCCAGGGGTCATAGTGATTCTTGTGAAAGTACTGCTGAGCATAGTTTTTTAATGCCTCCACTAGGAGACAAACATGGGACCTCTGGTTTACTGATCTTATGCTCCACTGGATGAGCTGAAGAGATATTCTACCTTGGCAAGATGGTAGGAGGCGACTAGTAGTTTCCCTGGGTGACGTGTAGTTGGTATTTGATTGGATGCTGTTTAAGTTCAGTATATATTTCATTTGAATTCCTACATCTTATGGTCGTTTGATTTTTGTCTCGCCGCCACGAACTGGAAGTGAGACTTAGGTGTTGCTTTTCTGGCGAAGGTGGTGGCATCAACATTAACTTTTTGCGTATAAGTTAGTTTCTCTGATATAATAAGTGCTACACCAACCAAACTTGGACCATAGATGCATCTTAGGTAGTACATCTCAACCCATGCATCAGATGCTGGATACGGCCTTCCTTTCATGCTCCATTGACTTTGTCAGCATCTCCATCAGCATTAAGTTTTTTGCATTTAGGTTAGTTTCTCTGATATGTGCATCGATGGTCAAAGCGGGACCTAGGCGAGACATATCAATCCGAATGGCTTGTCCTAACTTGTGATAGCAGGAAAAGTGATATTTTATACTGCGTATATATTTTTGTGTATACAAAATTATACATGTTCATCAGTTTTTTAAGGTTTTGTATCGTATGATATATTTCAAAGGTTAATGTTTATATAGCCTTGAATTTTACAAGATTGATTTTCTTAAATAAGATTCTGTCCATCCTTTGGATATTTTGTCATGTCAGCCCCCACCCCCTATTTTTGGAGAAAAATAATTGACATGCCAGTACTACCAATTGCCTGTGTATAAATGCATTTGTTAATCTCCCATAGTATTTTATCCTTCCCACCATATGCTTTGCATGAATTGTCTGTAACCACATCCAGAGGACAAGAAATACAAGGGATATATATCAAAGACGGTTTTGTTTTTTTAACGAATGTATGAAATTAGTTTTTTTTGCATTCCATGTTTTGATTAGAGTGGTTTATAAACATAAATGTTCAGATCAATGTTGATCTGATTGTATCAGTAGACTTTGTCATATATTTCCATTTGTTCTAATAGTGATTTTTTTTTGTTCACGTAATTGTATTTGTATTTTAATTACGATATTGTCTTTTGTACTGTTTACTCTACTTTTTTACTTTTTCAAGTGTATTTGAAGCAAATTTTTACACATATTTTGGATTTGTTTTCACTAATTCAGGTTTTAATTTACATGTCAATTTTTACAAGCTGTTATATTGTCAAATGTGATATTGGCGACTTTTTATATACCACTTCTTGTTAAGATTAGTGACATTTGTTATAAACATGTAAACATCATAATTGTGTTGATTTCCTGATGTATGTTTCATGCTATTTCTTTTCACTCTTTTGTTGCTATGGTAAAATGACGTTCAATGCTAATTTTGTTCACTCTTTAGTTGCTATGGTAATATGACGACCTGTGCTAATTTTGTTCACTCTTTTTTTGCTATGGTAATATGACGTCCAATGTTAGTTTTGTTCACTCTTTAGTTGCTGTGGTAATATGACGACCTGTGCTAATTTTGTTCACTCTTTTGTTGCTATGGTAATATGAGATTCCAATGCTATTTTTTTTTTTTTTTTAAGTTGCTATGGTGATATGACGTCCAATGCTAATATTGTTCACTCTTTAGTTGCTGTTTATATGACGTCCAATGCTAATATTGTTCACTCTTTAGTTGCTATGGTAATATGACGTCCAATGCTCATTTTGTTCACTCTTATGTTGCTATGGTGATATGAGGTCCAATGCTAATTTTGTTCATTCCGTAGTTGCTATGGTAATATGACGTCCAATGCTAATTTTGTTCACTCTTTAGTTGCTATGGTAATATTACGTCCAATGCTAATTTTGTTCACTCTTTAGTTGCTATGGTAATATGACGTCCAATGCTAATTTTGTTTACTCTTTTGTTGCTATGGTGATATGACATCCAATGCTAATTTGGTTCACTCTTTTGTTGCTATGGTGATATGACGTCCAATGCTAATTTTGTTCACTCTTTAGTTGCTTACGTTATATGACGTCGGGTGCTTATTTTGTTCACTCTTTAGTTGCTCTGGTAATATATATGACATCCAATGTTTAATTGTTCAGCTTTATTTGCTATGGTAAACATGACGTCCAATGCTAATTTTGTTCACACTTTAGTTGCTATGGTAATATGACGTCCAATGTTAATTTTGTTTACTCTAGTTGCTATGGTAATATGACGTCCAATGCTGATTTTGTTCACTCTTTAGTTGCTATGGTAATATGACGTCCAATGCTAATTTTGTTTACTCTAGTTGCTATGGTAATATGACGTCCAATGGTAATGTTGTTCACTCTTTAGTTGCTATGGTAATATGACGTTTAATGTAAATTTTGTTGACCCTTTCGTTGCTATAGTGATATAGCGTCCAGTGCTTATTTTGTTCATTCTAGTTGCTATGGTAATATGACGTCCACTTTTAATTTTGTTCACTCTTTCGTTGCTATGGTGATATGATGTCCAATGTTGATTTTGTTCATTCCGTAGTTGCTATGGTAATATGACGTCAAATGCTAATTTTGTTCACTCTTTCTTTGCCATCGTAATATGACGTCCAATGCTCATTTTGTTCACTCTTTAGTTGCTATGGTAATATGAGATTCCAATGCTAATTTTGTTCATTTTTTAAGTTGCTATGGTAATATGACGTCCAATGTTAGTTTTGTTCACTCTTTAGTTGCTATGGTAATATGAGATTCCAATGCTAATTTTGTTCATTTTTTAAGTTGCTATGGTAATATGACGTCCAATGGTAATTTTGTTCACTTTTTCTTTGCTATGGTAATATGACGTCCAATGTTGATTTTGTTCACTCTTTAGTTGCTATGGTAATATGACGTTGAGTGCTTATTTTGTTCATTCCTTAGTTGCTATGGTTATATGACGTCCAATGTTAATTTTGTTCACTTTAGTTGCTATGGTAATATGACGTCCAATGCTAGTTTTGTTCCCTTTAGTTGCTATTGTAATATGACGTCCAATGTTAATTTTGTTCACTTTAGTTGCTATGGCAATATGACGTCCAATGCTAATTTTGTTCACTTTAGTTGATATGGTAATATGACGTCCTGTGCTAATTTGTTCACTATAGCTTCTACAGCACTACAATGGCCAATGCTAATTTTGTTAATTCTAGTTGTTATAGTAATGTGTTGTCCAATGCTGATTTCTTTACTCCAGTTGCTATGGCAATAGAAAGATCTACACTAATTTTGTTCACTCTTTAGTTGCTATGGCAATAACAAGTCCTAAGCTTATTTTGTTTAATCATTAGTTGCTATGTTAATTACGCCCATTGTTGCTCAATCTCTACTTGCTATTATTTGTACGCCACATCTGTTGTCTGTTGTTGCCAAAGGGATGTTTATGTTACGTGCTATTTTAGTTCAGTCTAGTTTTTAATGGGTTAAATATGTGAGAAATCCTCAGAGAATTTTGTTCACTCTTTAGCTACTATGGTAATTACAGTCAAACTTTCATGAATCAAACCTTTAAGATTCCAATTTCTCGATGTGTGGAATTTATGGCAAAGTCCTGAATTTCCCCCCGATATGTGTCTTCTAATGCTACATTCGTGAACCATACTTTTATGAATCAAATTTTCTTGCTGTTTCGAAATATATTCAAAGACCATTCCTTATGAAAACATTAAAAATTACAACTTATGAATGGCAGTGAGAATACACCTGTACTATATAGCTAGAACATTAAAATGATCACGGAACATTTTAACAGCACAAGCCTCGGAAAAAAATAATTGACAAAGAAATGTTGAGCTTCATAAGAAATTCAATATTTATATTTGAAATTAAATATCCCAGCCTGTGTTTCTTCACATATATTAAGATCATATTTTGTCTTATTTAAAGGATCTCGAAGTTCAATATTTTTTAGTTGAAGTCCCGATGTTCTGAAATTTTCCCAATGGTCTCGCAAAGTTCGAAACATTGATGTAAGACTATACGTCCGTTGCTTATGTTGTTCAATCGCTAGTTGCTTTTATGTGTGTTATATGCCACATCTGTTCTGTCTATGGTTGCTATGAGATGTTTACATAACGTGCTGTATCAGTTCAGTCTAGTTAATTATTTGAGAAATATGTTCTCTTAACATCAATTCAGTTAAATCTCTTGTTGTCAATGTGATAAATATAAAATACACTATTTCTGTTCCGTCTATAGTTGTCAATGTGATAAATACTTTATTTTTGTTTATTATCTAGTTGTCATGGTGATACGTATGCTATATTTAGTTTCTACTTGCTGTGATATAAATATTATATACTATTTCTGTTCCGTTTTTAGCAATGACATTACCGTATATATCTTTTGAGGTCAGTCTCAAGTTTCCGTAGTGACAAATCTGTTTACTGATATATATATTTATATTTATATATAGAATAAAATAATTAGTATCCAAGTCTATTGTTAGACCTTTACATGTTATTGTATGCAATTTAGATTTTTTCTGTGATTAATTTATGTAGTTGACTATAAAATAATAAAGGATTGGAATTTTTTCTATTACGCTTGTTATTGATTGTAACGTGTTTATGCATTTTGACATATGTAACCAGATATTTAACATGATGACCCGAAGTACTTCATTGTTATACAGAGAAATAGGTCTGCAAATCTGATTGGTTGTAAAATAACACAGTGTAATTGATTTTTCACCCCTAAAGACACATTTGAACTCTTCAAATTCAAAGGTTGGAATGGTTGATTATGAAATTTCAGGGGTGAATGAGTTAACTCTTTCACCACTGTAAACCATAATGGACTCCTCCAGATCAATGAATGGTAGAGTCTACTAAAGTTACATAGGGATGAAAAGGTTAAAGTCTACCTTGGTGTAAATGTAGGACATATTGTTGTTCAGGTATTAGATGAGAATTTCACTTGTGAGAAAATTATAACCTTGTATGAAAAGAGATATAAAACATAATGTCGCCGTGATTTGTATTGTTTGCAACTTGTAGCTACGCATGCTTTTCTACAAAGCTTTTATGTAGAAGTGTTGAGCATCTTCATATTTTTGAATATTGAATACCGACTGGTGCTGTTCTGATAGTCAGCGTTTGCTACCTACCAGGTGATCGCTGCTGTTGCAGAGTTCCTTTTAACTTTTGTTCCGTTGGTTAAAACAAACAACAATAAGAAAGAAAGAAAGATATCAAAGCCATCGTCATTTTTTAAAATAAATATTTTTATTGAACTATGGAAAATCATCCATAATTTTCTATTTTATTACAAAAGAAAAACTGACCCCACTTTCAACTGATTTATATCAGTCTATATCGATAAACATGATGCCCCATGGTAAAACGTATCCAACATGTCTGATTCTACCACAGAAAACCAGTAGAGTCTGCTATTCTGTTGTCCAAACATTGTGTGGGTAAAGATTTCCTTTTCTTGATTGACATAGATACTTCTACTGTTGCTTGGGTAAAAACTAGTATCTTGCTTGATCACAAGCAAAAATGGTAAATACTTTTCTACCATTTTCTTTAAAAAGGTGTGATACAAATTGTCAAATCTCTACCACACCGTTTCCAGAACAAGATATCACTGTTTAGATAAACCTTGTGCTATAATTAACATGTATAATATTTTCTCAGCAAATCTCTAAAGAGTTAAATAATGATAGTGATAATAAAAAGAGGGGGTATTCTTATGTACAAGGGTGGGTGAGGGAGGGGGACATTTTACAATTGAGCTCTAACATTCATTAGCTAAAGACAACTGCGTAAAAAGATCATTTATATCTCTTTACATAATGTATGAAGTTTGTTTCAATATCACGAGTAGTTGACATTGTGTAGCACCTCAGATTCCTATGTTTATCAGTTGTAAGTTATAAGTTTATAAGTTGTCTCCCTTAAACAGCTTCTCCTGTAAGTTATGAGTTTAAAAGTTGTCTCCCTTGAACACCTCCTGTATCAGCTTTCAGCTTTTTCTTTTCAAGGTTTCATTGTAAAGCATTATTCATTTAAATACAGTACTGATAACTACAAATGTTTCAAGGAAGATCTGTATAGTATGATTAAATTAAAATCGATACAACTAGATAGTTAATAACAAAAAAATATCAGATTAAATAAAAATTCTTTATTCAGGGGATTTGTATCAAATCTTGAATAAATTATATTGTTGAACTTCTGCACAAGTTCTGAGAAAAAAAACACCTTCCATCACAGATATAAATAATATACATAAAGTTATAACATACAAATATATTCAACTGATGAATCTTATTCCGAATACAAATATATTGTGAAGATATTCACATAAAAAATGAAGTACGTAATTACATCCTGAGGAAATGAAATGATAAACGCCAGAAAAAGTATAAAATTGATCTTAAACTCCGAGTAAAATTGTGCAGTAAAAATTAAAAAATCTGTTTATGTTCTACCAAAATTGAATGATATTTATAGATGGCAAAAATGCAGTTTTCAGCAGTAAGTTTAGAGAAAGTATATTTTCTCTATAAGTTGATGCTTTTGTGTACAGATGTAAAATTAATTAATCATAATAATTATGAAATGTCTTAAAAAACACAGTAAAAAAAAAAGAACAGTCATGGTCTTGGGATGAATGAACTCATTTACCCCTGAACACACATTTGAACTCTTCCAATTCAAAGGTTGGAATAGTTCATTATGACATTTCAGGGGTGAATGAGTTAACACACGTTGCAACCGAAACACCAGACATGTACACACTGTTATAAGGTTAATTTACAACAGTTATCAACAAACTAATTACGGATTAATCTGTTCCTATTTCTTTTTGTATTTGACTGTTGCCGTTAGCAACAGGCATGTTGTACCTTACAATTTATACAAGGTAGCACTATCTGGGACCCATGTAAACTCTTTAACATGGAAACATAAGTTTAACAAGGGGGGATGAGAGAAACGTGACAATGGATAAACTTTGAATCCTCAACACTTCATATTTTACAATTATTATACACGATAATGTTCATTCTGTACAAGGTAAAGGGATTTAAATACGTAACAATCTCAATAAAATGTCTTTTGCTGTCCGTACTTCATAGTATACAAACAAAGCTCGCAAGATAAAACACGCTAAAAGACCACTCTCTCATTCATACATTTAAATACTTATCAGGTCACACCTCGGCCAATAGCATTCAGTATAGGAAACTTCAGTGACTAGACTTAATATACATCACACTAGCATAATTTGGACATTTTCATTGGATGAAATATTCATTAATCCACTGCATCCTGTCCATTGGATAATATATATCTTTCATTTTCATTGGATAATATGTCCTTCATTTCAATTGGATAAAATATCCTTCATTTCCATTCGATAATATGTCCTTCATTTCCATTGGATAATATATCTTTCATTTCCATCGGAAGATATATCCTTTATTTCCATCGGATAATCTTTCAATATGACAAAATAATAACTTATTTTGGTATTCTCATATATTTGTAAATTCTATACAAAGTATATTTCTATATCCAGCAGTTTGGTTGATTTTGTTCAAATATTTGTTTTTTATTGGACAGAAATATATTGCACAATGACTTTTCCTGGACTTTTCTTTTATTCATAAGAGACAAAATGTTACCATGGAGACTGATCCTGTGCAAATCCTTAACCCTTTCACCCCTATGATACTTAAATAAACACAACCACGCTTTGATCTGGATGAGTCCATTATGGTTCACAGTGGTGAAAGGGTTAAAAAAAGAAAAAAATATATATATATATATCTTTGAAATCATTTATATCTCAAAAGATCTTAAGAACTCCTGAAATCTATTTGCTGTAACAAAACCTTACAAACTCAATGCTGTAAAAATTCCCAGGCCTATGATGATAAAGTTTTGGAAAATGCAAGCAAACATGTTTCCTTAAAAGGTATGGTTTTGTTTGAATTGGTAGAGCATACCATTTTCAATAACACGCTGGATATAAGCATTACAAAACAGCCAATCATAAATTCTCCAAATATAAGCTCCATGCGGCATAACCATACCATATACCAAACAGAAAAAAAAATGTTCTAGAACATCTCCTTCAAAAGAACTGTGATATATTGAAAGAATTTGGGTCCATCTTATTTTGCAATAATATCTAAAAATATTTGAAATTTCAATCAATGGGACATAAAAAAATATCTCAAGAGGAAATTTCCAAATTATGAAAACTTTATTTGTTATAAAGTTTAAATGTGTTTCTTTCTTCTTGAAGAATTTCAAATTATGAAATTTGTTGTTGTGATGGAGCTTGAACATATTTTATTATTCTATCAAGAATCTCAAGTTCTAATATATAAAAAAGAATTACCCGTTAAAACTTTTTTCACCAGGAAGTTGTATAGGCCATTAAGCCCCCTTGTCAGAAAAATTCCAGAAGTGGAATTCGAAAACAGCTGGTGATCAAATAGGTGCAGTAATGACAAATAGAATAAAAACATGTTCATACAGCATATTGCACATTTCGGGTCATAATGTTCTGACCCCGATAAAGCATATTGCACATTGAGGACCCGATCAAGTATAGGAACATTCAGCTTGTCGGGCCCTGATCAAGCATACTTAAAAATCAAACCTTCACCCTGAAATACTATTGGCACTTACTCGCCATTAACATAAGCATTTGAGTAAAAGGGAATGAAAATGCCTGTTGATAAATCAGCCTTTCTCTTTCATCAATCAAATATTACAATCGTTTTTTTCTTTTTTTTTCTTTTTCAAATTTACGTTTCTCCATGTGTTTCAAATCAGCTACAGATTGTTTAAATATCTTTTTTTTCATCTTTTTTCCCCCAAGGGGAAGTAATGTTCCTCAATCAGATGTATAATTTAATGCGACTGAGTTGTCAACAAACACTCTGCTGTACAATGACTATAGCGGGACAATTATTGCGAAGGCCATTGTGTTCATTACAAATGCTGTGCACAAACTGGGTTGACAATATCAAGTACAAAGTTCAAAGTTGAATATGGTGGAAAGCGATGACAACACTCTTACGTGATATCGTAACTGTTGTTGCTACATGGATGTTTAACAATGTTCTGTCTATTTATACCTACAGCCTACGTACGTCCTTCACCTTCCGCAACGAAATCAGAAGGCGAGATAAACCTCCACCAAAGGGGCTCTACAGCTCTAAACCACAGTCACACCCACATGTCAGGGTCAGAGACATGAAGAGTTCATGAATCAGCTCATACATGTTCATGAACTAAACATACCTTTAACATGACCTTTACACCCAAGTGATTAGGTCAAAGGTCAACCTGACTGTTGGCGTTTTCTATACAAGTCTTGTGCAGAAGCAGCTACTTGGGTATAAAATTTACATATAGGATATGAAAAAACTTCCACTCCATGACAATCTAACTTTGATAAAAAGTTTGCTGATACTAGGTGTATCATTTCTCAAAAACATGCATCTAGGTATAAGCCAAGAATTTACTTGCTGATTATTTCAACTGTGCATTTCAGAAATGTGCTCCTTTGTATAATTTATAATTAAGCAATGAAACTTTCCTCTTGGGCACTCACTAACATAATGTCCCTTAGCACATTCTGAGTTATGTCCCTTAGCACATTCTGAGTTATGTCCCTTGGTACATTTTGAGTTATGTCCCTTGGTACATTTTGAGTTGCTTCTCTAATGAATGAAAGTCATTTCCTTTAGGACATTCTGAGTTAGGTCCCTTAGAACATTCTCATTCATGTCCCTTAGAGCATTCTAAGCTATGTCCCTTGGCACACTTGGGATGGCCAACTATGTCCGAGATTCATGCGTCTCCGTCCTGATTGAGTTGCTGAGGAAGGACCTGTTATACAGAGACATAACTTTACCGGAAACGCTCATAAATTTCAAGGTAACATTTTGACAATCTGACACAACGATTAACAGCTATGAGATATTACCAGAATTTCTGATTATGAAGCTCCATTTCCAAGTAATTTCGTCAATAGCTTTTTATAATTTCCAGATAAGGTGATTATCCATTTATCATCTGATTACATTCATAATTTCTGAATACAGTAATTTCTCCTATAAATTGGCCATTTATTATGCTCTCTTCGAGCATTTTTTCCCACTTACATTTGTAATTCCAAAATGAAATGGTAACTACTGTGAAATGATATTTTTCTGTTTAAATGTGTTTATCATTTATATTTTATTTCAAAAATTTCTTAACCTGTCCACCTTATTAATGAAAAGTAGTAATGATCGGATAATTGTGACATAGTTTTATACTATTGACGGTAGGACAGACACAGGACACAAAACACCACCCATGCAAGGGAGACAACCAACCATGCCATATCACATTTAGGTATCGCTACACAAATACCATACAATAAAAGCAACAAACAACACAGTCAAATAAAAGGAGAAAAAAACATCAAAAGTTTAAAACTTCATAAAACAAAAACAAAAAAATTCAGTATATCAACAAAGGTGTTCAAATATTCTTGAAAAAAAGTAGAACTTCAGTCTGCATGTTGATGAATAAATCAAACTTGGGTCCTAAGGTAACTTTAATGCAGAGAATTATAACAAGAGCTTATTGCAGTGATAGTGATTTTGATCAACTAAATGAGCAGATCGAAATTTTCAATCAAGAATATCCGAACACCTGGAAATGCACGCAGATTGATATCTTTAAGATAAACTCTACGAACCCATTAACACAACTACATATATAACACATAACAATGGAATTCTACATCCTCTTCTTCGCACAGTAATCTTAGATCAAACACACGGTAAAGATGAAACGTCATACGCCACCTTACGACGTCATTGCATGCTTCCATTTTGGCCTTGGAGAAAATCACGTAATATAGTAGTTGATATCCACGTCTAAAATTAGCACCATGTTAAGTCTGTTATGACAAAAAGGCAGCTACCAACGGAGGTTTATTAATAGAACAATGCAGGGATGTCGGGGAGTTTTAACTGGTCGCTAGGAATCACAGGACATGGTTACAACGTCACACATGACGCGGCATTCACAGAGCGGACTCGACACTCGACGTGGAAATGTCGTGGCTACTGAAGCTGTCCAGACTTGTAGAATCGCTATCCTGGCTTTGAGCGCTGCTCGAACCATTTGCAGCTTCTTGTAGGCGCATGATCATGCTAAGCTGAAATAAGGGGAGGTAATAATGCAATTTAACCAGCATGTTCATATAGTGAGGTTGACAATCAGATGAAATCCCATTTAAAGCAGTTTCGGAGAAAATCCTATTTTAAATGAATGACATGTAGCCCTAATGAAATGTTTTTTTTTAATAATTACATTTTTTACTCTAAAGCGTTAGTTCAGAATTTATAAAGGGTGTGGTTGTTTAAAACTAAGATATAATTTCATGAGATAAAAACTATACCATTTATAGTTTAAAGTAGCCAAAATTTAAGAACCCGATATCCAAATTCCTTTTAATAAATATTCCTCTTATTTTTGTGAGTAAGGACACGTATGTAATTTACACTTAAACAAAACAGATTTGACTTGATTACAGAAACAGAAAACAGGACACCATTAATTAGCTGTTAATTTCTAAGGAATTCCACAGTTGCTTAGTTTACATAATTACAGTCTTCGACCACGATAAGGAAACACTTTACAAACGTTTTGAGTTAAATTCTTTGTGCAAGATTTCCACGATAAATGGTGAATTAGCATATATTTGTTGTATAGTTTTCTAAGAAACACACAGGTCAACGAAGAATAGCTCCAAATTTAACCGAAAAATGTTTTCACTAAAATAATTTTCCACCCAAACACATTATTTTTTTTACTTAATTTCATCTTTTGTCAAATGTATCTGTTTGACATTTTCTAAGGTTGATGACAAATTTATTGCTAATTGCTTCAATGTTTCTTTTACAATTCACGGTATTTCATCTTCAAAGAGAAAATATATTTGAACGTGACATGCTGAACCTAATGGCACAGGGAACAGGGGAAGTTACTCTGCACCACGGAAGGGAGGGGTATGTAAATACTTGGATGGTTTATGGGAACAAAAGGTAATCAGTTTTCTTCCTCTCTTCAAACATTTTTCTTCAGATGCTTGAAAAACTATGCACAGCGAATCCTTGGTAATCTTGACACTCGGAAAGTTTCACAGTCAAATACCCAACAAGAATAATTTCATAATTTCAAAAGATTGTTTTCTGAATAATTTCTGGGTAAGTGCTTCTGTATCAAACATTATTGTTTATTCTTCCTCCTCCGGGAAGTGATCTTGCCCAAATTACCAAGGCTTCTTTGTATATTACTCAACGCCTGTGGATCAGAAGATTTTATATTATGTTCGGTAACATAATGAAGACTGGGTTACAGCTTTTCTGATTATTTCTCATACATGGACCAAAAGTGATTTTAAAGATTTTAAACAACATACAACCCTTTCAATTTTTTTATTAAAGTGCTCTCTGCTTTATTCATTGATCTTATTAGCTTTCCTTAATCCAGACTGTTGTGGAAAACTACCTGAATTAATTAACTTATTCACCCCTGAAGACACATTTGAACTCAAAGGTTGGAATAGTTCATGATGAAATGTCAGGGGTGAACGAGTTATCACGGTGTAAATACCTTAAATCTTTGATCCACAGACATCGTTTTTTCGTGACTACATGATGCATTTCATTCTATTTTTAGCACAAAACACTTAGAATTCTATAAATGGTTTGTCTATCAAATTCTACACATCGAAAACGAAAAGGTGCCAAAAACAGATCATGCTTTTCATGCAGACATGCCTGATGTAGGTGCGACACAAACTCCTCAACTACACACGTAACGGAACGATACGACACTTTAGGTGCATGTGTACTTGATGACGGATGGTGATAACAAGGGAGGTAACTATGTGACATAAAAAACAACCTGGTTAAAGTTCCATGACTTGAGAAATAAATAAGGAAAAATAAACGGATCAGTTCTACCAAGACAACAAGGAAAGACAACTCTGACAATGGACGACTCGTAAACAGACAGGTATCTCACACAGGACGACTAAACATCACTGACCAATGGGTCTCCGTTTCCTGTTTGCTTCGACATCTCCAAGGTTTTGGCCTTCTGTGGTTGCGGGCTTGATCCTGCAGAGATCACACCCTGTGTGTCATAACCAACATCTTCTGGGCGGATCCGCAGTAATGCAGGGTCCTCGTCTTTTGCTGTTGCCCATGGATACGTCTCCAGCACCCAGTCAGTGGGGTCTTCCCAGGGGGCACGACGGCCATAAACCTTAGAATTGACAAATATGGTTAATTGGAATGTTCCAGGACCTAGCTTCTTTTGACATAGATAATAATAACAACTGGAAAATTTCTTTCAGATACTTAAATACATAAGTTTTCCTTTTAAAACATTTTGAAATTTTGATAATCAGACACATCTTATGATTTGGTTTAGACATTTTGGCTAAGAATTACTATTTTTCTCTTTGCTTTGTAATTTAAGAATGTGTATTGTCTCCCATACAGCTAATCCTGTGATTCACAAATCCCTGTAGAACCCATTACAATTAACAATACCTCTTACCACCCACTACAATGATATACAATACCAATACCCCCTACTCCGTTTTATACAAAACCTGTAGCTGCCCCTCCTCCCTGTAATATACAATACCTATAAGCCCCCTACTCCCTGTAAAATACAATACATGTACCCCCACAGCTCCCTGTAATATACAATACTTGTAGCCCAGCCCCCCNTTTATACAAAACCTGTAGCCCGCCCCTCCTCCCTGTAATATACAATACCTACAAGCCCCCTACTCCCTGTAAAATACAATACATGTACGTACCCCCACAACTCCCTGTAATATACAATACTTGTAGCCCTCCCCGTAATATACAATACCCGTCCCCCCCACTACTCCCTGTAATATTGAATACCTGTAGCCCCCCCCCACCACCACCATGCCCTGTAATATACAATACCTGTAGCCCCTCCCTCACAGCCTCCAACATGTAGGGTATGATTGAGTAGTTCCAGAGGTCTGTGAACCATATCTTGGAGCCTGGGATCTCCATCGGACAGGAGAGGAAGAGTCTCGGTCCTACAATAAACAACACGTTACTACATGTGACCTCAGACTTAAACACATTCTTTCACTAATTTTTTAGAAGAGGTTGAGAACATATTCCAATGCCAGTAGATTTGGTGACATTTCGTTTTATTTGGAGCTCGATGTGAAAGTCCCAAAATCTATTGCAAAAATAATTTACATCGCAATATCCAGCTTACCGTTGTGCAACCCAATCATGATTCTTAGTCATTTGAGATATAACACGGCATTGATTGATCAATCAAAATAATTTATGAATGTATAACCACCATATACTGTCTGTAAATATTATTTACATATGAAGCCCTGATTGTTAATGATGTCAATGACCCTGACTGACCCCCAACACGTCATGAAATTGATTCCCAAACCACAGTGCAACAATGACTGCAGTAAAATATACAAGATACAAGCACAGTACCTGGTAAAGTTTAAACATTGAAAGTTTAAACATTGAAATCAGAATTAATTCACCCAAATTGTAAACACTGGCATTGTAAGAGAACCTAGCTTTTAACCCACTCGAATCAAACCAGCACAATTTTGATCAAAAAAAAAAATTCAGCGTCACAACATTATTTTTTATAGTTTCAGTTATTGTATATCAAGAATGATTTGGACATTTTAGAATTTCAGATAAACAGAAATTAAATCAAGTTCACATGACCTAATCTCTCATAAAAATAATCATCATAATTGATTTCCATATCTTTTTATGTAGCAAAAACATCATAAGAGTGGGTACAGATTATAATACCAATGTTATACATAAATTATCAGGTTTCTCTTTTATATAAAAAAAAGCCAACCTATTGTGACATCCGATGAGCTGTGAGTCTCCAGGAACTTGTTGAGATGGAGCCAGACCTTCGGGATCCAATCAATGATTTTGTTGAGGTCGTTGTTACGAATACCTGTCCGTACCTCGGCCTCCACCAACTTCCTGCGGAGATAGCGACCCAGGAAACCCTTGACAGGCTCCATATGGTTGGCACAGAGCACCCATCGGAAATTGTGGTGGAGCTGGAGGTTGGTCGTGGAACACGTCGCCTGGTTCATAGTTCCAATAATATACGGACTGAAAAACATAAAGAGTTAAAGATTTTACACTTTTTTTTTTCCTTCTGAACTTTTTTTTTACACATAACTTTATCTCCCCTCCCAATCCTCTTTTAAGAGTAGAAAGGAGTAAATTTAAGTCAGAATGACCATTTCCTTTAAAATATAGTAAAGCTGTATTATTCTGCAACATTTCGGCAAGCAAAAAATAGGCATTACAATTAAATTGTAAAAGGTATCGTTAAGAAAGACGGAAAAGGATCCTTGAAAATGTTTTGACTATTAGCCAGGTTTCAATGAAATGACAGGTGTTACAGTGCTTATAAAGATGCCTATAGGGTTTGACACTAACTTACTGGTTCTTTCGACTTTAATTTTTTTTTATGCTATCATAATATCATTTGAGGGATAAATAATTAAATAAGAATTTTCCTTCATGAAAACTGCCTAAATTATATTGAATGACAATATTAACAAAATTCCTAAACTTTCCCCGTATCATTATGACAGTAGTTTTTCAATGTCTATCTACAGTCAATTACTTTTGAAGTTCTGCACTTAAGGAAATCTTGGACTATAGTTACATTGATGTAGGACTAGCAAATCAAATAGAGTCTAACCCTGATCTACTTACAATCTCTATAACTTGACAGCAAAACAATGTTTGCATTGACCATATACTTCCAAACATTTCTAGTACTTGACAGTGAACTGTCATTGCTCTGAAGTCTGAACTTTTCAGGAATTCGGCAGTAGAGAGCTGATAAATATAGAACTCACCATTTCTGGTACTTGACGGAGAGAAAGCCGTTGAAGACCTCGCCCAGAGACCCCACGTGATGAAGGTTGTCGAGGATGATGACGCTCGGCAGTTCTCCCACGCTCGAGTTCTCACACTGGTCGGCGATGTTGGACAGGTACTGCCGTAGTTCCTTAGCTGACTTGTGATCAACGTTGAAGGTTGCGACTGAACCAGCAGTCAGTTCCTTCCCAGACCTGATGCATGACATGTAAGCATGTATGAGATTCTGATTACAAGGCCTCACAATGTTATAATGGCATACATGTACCTGCACAAAATATTCCTGACTGAAAGATGTCTGTTAAGATTTTACAGATACCTGACTCTTATTGTGAAACCTGTCTTCACTGACTTTACTGACTCCCGACTGGTTACAGTGAAACCTGACATTACTGACACCTGACTTTTAGAACATCCTGAGATATCTTGCATTATCTTATATCCAAAAAAGACACTCTCTCATTAATTCAGATGTCATTGACACAAAGGCATATCCAACCAAAAATGATTGTTTTTTTTTATGTCAGCACAGACAGGTTTCAAGTCTCCGTAATCCTACCACTCTCCCTTTTCGTCAGATGTGTCTAGATTGGGAAAAACAGCTGGTTCACAGTGTCACTGTTGTATACGACAAAGTCATTTGTCCCTTAAAACACTGGCTGGATAGCAGGATGACCAGATTAGTGGGGGCTTCATTATTAAGACTTAATTTCGCTCCATGTACATGGTTTTTGTGACAAATTCATCTTTCAAATAAAGAACAGCGTAATTTAAGAGATAATAGGGTGGCAACGATATATCATGCAACAATAACTTATTGCCATATTTTGAATACGGTACAATACACAATATTCTTTGGGAGGTCACTATATTTTCCAGATTTTGTCGTTTCTGAATTTCAACTTCTCATATTGATTCCAACATGATGAACAATAGCTCCAGCTCGGCAAGCACGTCGGAAGACGTGAACTGTGTGAAACTTTAAAAGTCATGCCAATTTTGGACAAGCTCTACTTTCCAGTTGTAATATTACCATTAAAATTTGAAACTTGTCTTTTCGCTTCGATTCTACTGTTACTATATATATCAGGACACATATCATATCGTCATGTTAATGAATCGTTGCAAGCCCTAAAAGAGACAATATCATAAGTTATCATGCAAATATCAGATTACACTAAAAGTGACACTTCGGGTTACATCAACTGGCATGGATACCAAAAACCTACAGTACAATATCGCAAACCTGGTGATGGATCCTATCGAGCAAATCTGATCACACCTGTATGATAATCTATAACCTACCTGAGAACCAGGTGTTCCGCGAGTTTCTGTGCCAGGTATGTCTTGCCTGTGCCACTCGGACCACAGAGGATAATACGGCGGTGTTCCAGAAGCAGGGACACATACCTCTGGACAATGGACTTGGGGATCAGTGTCTCAAACGCTAACGAGTCCACACTGTTTTGCTTTGTACCTGAAATCAAAGGTCATCCAAGGTCAAATGGTAAGTCAATTAAGAGATGTCAATGTTACAACATTTTTTTTTTTGTTTTTTTTTTTTGAAATAAAATAAATTTTTGTAGAAAATTATGAAATATATAATATTTCTGTATCAAATATAAAGTGAGGTTCCTGGAGACTTACCTTTGAGACATATTCCTATTTGCATTGTGTCCCCTACCAGGTAGCCCACGGGTAATAGTTCTGGTAAATCCGCATTTTTAGTTCGGATTATCTCCCCTATATGGTACATACAAACACTCTCTGCACTCAAGCCTAAGTTTGTGACAGGATCAACTCGTAACACATACTCCTGAAAAAATAAGAAAAACCATAATCTGACACAGGTCATGCACTTAATTTTAGACAGAACTACAATGCCTTTTTTTTTTTTAAATGTAAAAATTAAAAAATGAATAAGAAAAAAATATCTGTTGTAATATTTGAAAAGACAACAAACATAGTACTTCAAATTTTTCAAATCTGGAAAAAAAGGGTTAAAAAAAATGTCCATTTTCATTTATTGATCATGATATTAACCTTATATACAAAAATAGGTTAATAAATACTCATATTCACCATGACGGAATATAATGTTGGAACAGTATACCAATCACCAATAACCTAGCTAACATTGAAAAAAACTGGACATTTATTTACCTTTAATATTTTTCTAACAATGTTGTCTAAAATGTCCCACTTCGTCTTCCCACTGACTGACAAGGAGCCTATCAATACTTCGGCAGGTCTCTGAAAAAGAAATTTTATAAAATTACTATCAGGAAGAAAGAGTTACAGAAATAGTAATTTAAAGATAGTCTGAAGAATAAAATTATGGCATTTTAATGCTTTTTCAAACAATCTTATTGATGATAATTTTCAAGCAATTTTTAAAAAAAATCATGGATTTTTTCTTCAAAATTTAGAGCACCAATATATAATCGTAGCAGACGTCCTCTGGGATACATACAATTCACCTTATTGAATGGAATTTTTATTTTATTTTTATTTTGTATCATTTATTCTTAGTTATGAAAAATTGTCTGTAGGAGTGAAGTGTATGTGACCCAAGTATCTACAGATATATATGAGAAACTTGACGACATTCCAGAAGGTGCCAGAACAAATTTGTTTTATAACGTTACTGAACATGATACTGCGCAATGCAGGAGACAACACAAAACTAGAAATGTATCTAGCAAGTCATACAGAGAGAGGGTCTTAAGGAAAATCAAAAATAGTCTTTAAAGAAGTTTACCTCTACTCCCATCCTCATGGGGTCAGGATTTGAGCCGAGGTATACCATAATAGTTACTCTCTTCCCCTCCCGGTCGGGAGTCTCCGCTAGCAACATTTCTAAAAACAGAGCAGTAAAATGATGCATTTTTAAAAGAGGACTATGTATATATGGGGTATATTTAAGATTAAATAATGAAAGATGGAAATAACTGCATTTTTCAGAAACTACCAATATCTGTTAGAGTCTGATGATAAATAATTTTAGGAGTTCCTTCAAAGCCAACAGCATATGTCTACCAGTAATAATTAAGTGTAGACTAATATGGTAATGATTTTGGTTGCATAAAATTTGAATGTTTGATGAATATTTCTATTGTAGCTAGTTCAATGGTGTGGTTATAATTACCTAGACTAGGCTGTTCTTGCATGCTGAGCGACCTTTCAAGAGTATCACTGTTACTTCCTGCTCGTGAGTGGGCCAGGGAATTCTGGGATGTGTTCAAATTTCTCGCAGACATCATTCGTTGTAATCTATCATTATCTGCTTTCAAGGCACCCATATCACACTGTGAACAGAAAAAAAACGAAACAATGTATTTAACCGATATATAATCCAATCATTACGTGAGACAATTGAAAACCCCAACACCATCTCCGTTGTATGATAACATACATTTACCCTGAAGGCAGACATTGAATGTATGGCACTAAGATTATAGTATGTTAAATCTCCATCCATTGCCGTAGACAAGCTTAATTTAAATTCCCGGCTCATCAATCAGTATATATAAACTGCCTCTAACCATTTAAGGTGCGCAATTATTTTCACAGGGGCGTTCGTTTCCTTCAGGCATCAGACGAAAACCCAATAAAATTTACATAAACTCTTCATCACATTACGCCCCCTATGGCATTCTGGTACCAATAGACACTTAAATAAGGGCAATCATTGCAACTGTGGAGTCTTTGGACAGACAAACATTGTGTGTGACACATTCCCCACAATTGTAAGTCTGCCATTCTCCTCTCGCCCCAATGATTCTTTCTAATCCCACCGCTGCCACCAAATGGCTCCACTGCCACTGATTCTGTCACGTTTCCGGAGCAGCTGTTTGTGTAACGAGGTCCACGCAATGTTTTATATCTTGATGTCGGACGTGAACAGGACAGCAGTATAATCAAACTGGTCGTATTATACAGTTTCATATATCAAAGCATTTCCCCCATAATCCATATATCTGTCAATTTTATTGTAAACAACGGAATCAAAAAACACATACAATTTGTTGACAGGATGCAGCAAAAACTACTGCGCTTTCCTTGGAAATAAAATAATATACGCAACAAAAATAGCTATTCTTTTACAGTGAGAAAGTGGCAAAACATTTGGAGTTCAGCCTTTTTTGGGTCTGTATAACAAATGACCAGATTTCCTCACGACACTTATGGGCTTGGTGACAAACTAAATTGAAATCCTATCTTCAAGTAAAAGATGTGTGCAAGTCTGATTTACTATAATTATGTCCTAGTTTGCCATCCTAATTTCATACCTTCATTTTCGTCATTGTTTCCCGCAGTTGCTCCAACTGGTGAGCAGACGACAGCGCCTCCAGTCGGATATCGGTCAGCTTCATGTCTTTATCACGTAACTGCTTTCGTAATTCTAAAACAGATCCCATGTCTTCTGCCTCGTACAGCCTGTCAGTAGAAATAAACACCGTTACTATATGGAGACATCTACAGCAAGCCTCATTCATCTGGACATTCCGCTATCCAGCCAGTATTTTGGAAGATATCTCTAACGATATGAAAACATTAACCCTTTAACCCCTGAAGACACATTTGAACTCCTCCAATTCAAAGGTTGGAATAGTTCATTATGAAATTTCAGGGGTGATTGAGTCAGTCCTGTTTGTAATCAATGTAAGTGGCTGGATAAACTAGACTATCTGTAGATGAAAACAATATTGGTGCAAGACTGATACATGCCCTTTATGCCACTCTGAATACATATTACACATTTTTTTCAATTTTTCTTATTTCCTCAGTTTGTCTCTTATACATTCTAATTTGAATGTTTCAATTTCATCATGCATTGAAGATAACACAAACATTGTACGCTAGTGAACAAAAAGTCTGTCCACAGACTACCTGTCTATAAAGATCACTTGTCTATAGAGACCTTTTTTACCCTTTCTACACTGAACAGACCTTATATTTGAGGAAGGGAGATCACTGCGTCTCTAATGTCGAGATATGAGTCAAGTGAAAGGAAGGAAGGTGGGATTTTTTGGATTTTTTTTTTTTAGCCACAAAGATGGGTGTTTGTATTGAATATGCATATTAAAGTTGTGGTTATTATTACTGAAATGAAAAGCATGGTTATAGGTCTGATCTTTGTAGCATATATCTGTTGGGATGGGGTGGGGTAGAGGTGGGGGGAGGTTGTAGGGACATAAGATTTACAGAACATATATATGTACACCACGGATACGTACGCTGACGAAGAATGGGATCCCTTGATGAGCCCAGATCCGTTTGGCATGTGGACTTGAAGCAAAGGGGAGTTTGGAGCAGACATATTAGACCGGAAGCTTGTGCTGTCCAGTTCACAATCAGACATGGACCCGTTCCGGTTCTTCTTCCGTGAAAACGCTTTACTGAATGAACTTCGTAACTGTAGGAGGAAAAAAAAGAAAGATTTGATGTACAATTGTTTGTTTGCCAAAATATATGGATAACAGGGATTACAAAATATTATACTGTACATTGACCTTTTTCTACATAAATTGAAAAAAACACAGCTTTTAACTGCATCAGTTATCAAATCATGGTTGACATTGCAAATATTCAAATGTTCTTATCTGACTTTTCATAAAAAAAAAAGTTAAATTAAAAATTTGAATGTTTATTTTTTCACTCTCATTTTTCAGAAATGAAAAATCGTTGTTCCTTTGTAGTGAAAAGCCCAGGAAAAATTAGTTTTTAATGGGTTAACAATGGACCACTATTGATTTATCACTGACTTTGAAATTGGCTGTAATCTTTCTTGAAAGACTTATATCCTTGCGAGGCACAAACCTTTTGCATACTGGTAAAATATTGATTTCTTTTCTTTTTGAATTCTATCTGTTGTTAATTATAAAACCAAGGTTGTATCTGAGATTTAATCAATTTTTCTTTCCATAAAAAGAAAATCCTTCATATGAAGAACAGATGACTGGCACCATGTTCTAGGATAGAAAAATGTCTTAAACTCGCTGAACTTGCAGCCTTCATTGAAAATGTCTAAGACTGTTTACTTGTCTGTTTCATAACCTAGGTGTTAAGTTCCTTCAAACTGGGATCGTTCCAGGTGAAACAACATATTTATCAATGTTAGAAAATTAATTTTAAAGTCTAATTTTAAAAACATGCACTTTTTATTCAATTCTTAAAATCTTAAATAAATTCCTTTTCATTTTCACATTTTTTCAACTTAACAAGTCTCTAGTAATCTAAATTGAAAAATTGTGACTTGTTTCATGAAACTCCTAAACAAAGAGAACTTGTGTAAGATTCTGTCTATCACATAACTGAAATTTGTTGCAAAAATTTGTGAAATCAACATTTTTTTTTAAGATAGACTTGAAATCTATGATGCCAACATTTTGTCTCCATGCCTTTTGTCCTTTTGAACAGAAACAATGTGAACTTACAGCCAATGACAGCCTGTCTTGGTGGTATTGAATATATGTTAACAACATAATGTATGTAATAAGTGTCATGACACCCTTATAACAAGGAGAAGTGATTTGATAACAATTATTTTTACAAATTAGCTGAAAGGTGTTAATAGATTTTTTTTTGAATTCCAACCCTAACCACCACCATAAAAATTTGAAGGGATTTTGTCAAAAATATTATTTATAAAAAAACCCACACATTGACATTTCTTTGATGGAATTCATGGAAAAATCTACAAAGCTAGAAGAAATGTAACCAATAAACATACCCATCCCCTCTTTTTCTTTTTCTTGCTGATATCTCCGTCTGTGGCGGCGGACTGTTGACTGGTCAAACTGCAGGCACTCGACATACTATTGATACTGGACACACTATCGGTGGACATCTGTCTCGTCATACGACCTTCTGTAAGTAGGTCAAGGTCACAATTCTTGTCACCAAAGAAACCAACTTCATAACATGTTTATTATCTTAAAATGAAAAGATGTAAGGTTTCTTGAACTGTTGAATTTATGAGTAAAAAATATAAATTTCAATTTAACATATTTCCCTGATGAATCAAAAGAATAGATAGGGTATCACCATAAAATAGGGGTTCAGGAACAGAGGCCATGTTAACTACGGTATTTATGTTAGTATATTTTTTTTATCGATATCAAAATACCTTGACTCCTGATTATTATGATTATGGAATCCTCCGAATGACCTCGGTATGATGTATCACAGATTTGACGAGCAAAAAGACGCGTTCACTGAATCAATAAACAACTAAATCAAACTTGCGTCTAGATTGCATCTAAGAACCATAAAAACAAAATCCGATACATAAATTGAATCAAAATCGTCATCTAGAGCATCTACACTTCCAGGCAGGGATTAGTCATAAATTCAGCGGAGAAAATAAAATGTGCACGATATGTATCAAAATTTTCGTCAATTTACGGAAGTAATCCGATAAACAACTATTTCATACCAAGAAAGGTTTTATACAACATATAGCAAAATTACGTAATCCCTATTAATGCTTCTCACAAAATTTTGTGTGATATATATATATACTCCCAGCCTGTTGCTATTATGTTAATTTGTGAGTGTCAGATAGAGAAACTATTTGGGTTGACAGAGACGAGACGTGACCGCAAGAAACTTGAATATCGGTGGCACACATGACTCACCCCCTGGTTACCAATTATACATGTGGGAGCATGTCAGAGAAGATTGCAATGCATGCAGGGGAAAAAACACTACAGAGAAAACTGAAGATGAATCTCTGCGCTTAAGTGCCCCCGACAATGAATTACACCTAACAATGGAATGCTACCGAGATTTACATCTTTTTTCAAAAGTTGCCTTCCATGTACTAACAGATGAGAATTGGGGAAATCTCTTTATAATAAAGAGAAATACCACTTTATGTTTGCCTAAAGAGTTCCAGATAAAAGAAAGTCTTTTAGTAATTTCAGCATGATCAGTTGATTCTGTTTTTACATATGTACCACAATATATGTAAATTAGGAATAAAAAGAAGGGTTTGCGAATATTCATACAAATAGAAGAGGATTATACGACAGCACATAATTAAAATATAACCTGATGTATGACTGGGCGAACAGGTGGGAAACTCCTATATCCAAATTATGAAGCTATATCATTTCAAAATTTTATACAAAATTAGTATTTCTTTGTTTTGAAAGGATAAGAAGATTAATACATAAATTTAAAATAGTTTTACTTACCTAAGTTAGTAAAAAGACTTTAAAATCTTCAATTTATAAATTTTGATTAAAAATCTGAAAATTATTTGTGCTAATTTTGAAAGCTTAAACTATCTGATTACCACGACACAAAAACTGAACACATTCATCCCTACATATCTCCCTCATTCACCCCTGAAATTTTATAATGAACTATTCCAACTTTTGAACTGGAAGAGTTCAAATGTGTCTTCAGGGGTGAATGAGTTTATCTGGCCCTGTCATTGATTTGGTAAAGTTCAAATGTGAGTTTAGGGCTGAATGGTCAAACAAAATCAATTGAACTACAGTAGATTCCTCCAGTATATTTACCAAGAGGCATGGGCAGTGTGTGGAAGGCGCGGCCGGGGGTGTGATGATGGTGTGGCGAGGGCTGGTGCTGAGGACTACAGTTCGCGACCATACCCGGCGATGTGTGTCTCCGGCCAGCATTGGGACTGATAATTGGATCAGGGATATTTAGGCCGCTCTGTCGCTTCAACGCTTCGATAGTCACTCGCAGCTCATTTAATTCAGAGTCCTGTGAAAACAAGAATACGAAATTAAAACACTCAAAAATTTGAAAATTAAAAATATTCAATGTATCATCTTCAACCAATGTTCCTTCAACACCTTAACTTTTAAATACATACAGTTCATGTAACTGAAGAGAACTTTTAAGTCTAAATCCTTTGCCAAAAACAGTTAAATGTGATTCTGATGATGTTAAACTCATTCACCCCTGAAGACACATTTAAACTCTTCCAATTCAAAGGATAGAAGAGTTCATTATGAAATTTCAGGGTTGAATGAGTTAAAAATCTCTTTCAATGTATAATTAATAGATGCACTCTCTCCTATGAAAACCCATCTTCTCCATGCATCTCCCCTCTTAACAGTAATTATTACTTTTCCAGATGCAACACAATCATCAATCACTAAAATGTAAATACATTCTTATTTAAGATTGTCTACAGAAGAGTACTGCAGACTAATTCATAATAGCTAAAATTATTGAGTTACCACCTTCTATACAATTTCTCACACAGGCCAATATTGGTTAGCATCTTCAAAACACCAAATCCATAATCAGGTGAAAAAAATGTCAAATTATCATAGTAATGGCCAAATGAATTCACAAAACATCCGTTTTGTTGTCAGAACACGAGAACGCTCATAGCACTGGCAAACATTTACAACTGCAAACGGCTATTATAACAGGTGAAAATTTGTTAATATTTCCAGCACAAACAAAATATAAGCGGCACTGATTGTTTTATCAGACGGAGGCTAAGTCGACTATAACGCGAGGCGTCGTAACATCAAATAATACACAGTCGCTACAAAGGTCAGGCACTTCTTTCCAATCTGTGTTCAAGCATCCGAAATGTTACGATATTTCTGTTATCATAATTTCTTGGCAAAGACACAAAAGAAATGACTAGAAACTGTTGTACATGTATCAGGTAAAATCACACTCTCCTTTCCTGAAGAATGAAGTTTCCGTGTGTTTATCATCAACTGCAATGACAAAGATGTTAATCGAAGTATATGCAAAACTTCTGCACTCTGCCACACAAAAACACAAGTTGTCACATAATAAATGCAACAACCATATATCTCAAGTCAAACTGGTACCAACATGTAAAATAAGTCTGGGTCTCGAGAGAGCTTGTAACTGTCTGATACATGTGCCGAGTATGTAACGAACAAACAACAACCACAATGCACCACAACACACCTAGTTGTAAAAGTCAATCAAATCATGTAAACCTGCTTTTGTTGCCGTCATTATTTTGGCATAAACACTTTTCCTTCATAAAGCTTTTCTGCACTGTTAACAACATTTCCGCATTGTCCTCTTTTTTTTTTCCGAATCGAAAGTGTTTTTGCTTTATAAGTATTCCACAGAGTATAGCCTTGACAGGACCAAAAACAAGATGGCAGTTCTCTGATCACCAAGTGGCTCTGGTAATTTGTAAACGGAGGTTATTTTGTCCCCCTGCTGGGGAGGAGTGCAGTAACATGGGTTCCCAGTCTATGGGCCATACACTAGTTTATTATCACCAAGACAACAGTAATAAAGATCAGGTGGCTGAGCAGGGGTATGTAGTCTGGCTGATAAAATTGTGTAAAGTTTGTAATGAGGGGGAAATGTCAATCAGATCAGACACAATTATACTTAACAACAGTGGAAAGTGGAACAAACAGATATGGCTTTAGGCTGAAGAGAAGAAGAATGGAATATGGAAATATTGTGGTTTTGGGTTGGGTTGGGTTGGGTTGGGTTGGGTTGGGGGGNTCCAGGGTACTCTTCATTTAAACACAAACACAGAAGAAAAAATAATACAGAACAAAGTTGTTCCAAAATGGGACTTGAGCAGGTCTAGTCCAGTTCTAATTCCACACATGTTGCTATAGCAACGAGACGATATTGACAAAATTCTCTCCAAAATCTCTCCAAAATATATTTTGGGGATTCAAGGTGATGGGTCAAACTCTCAGAGTCCAACATTGAAAATGAAGTTTACCATTTCATTCAAGCATTAAAGGAAGGCCGGGTGTTTTTAAACCATTCATTGTCTCCTCGGAACTCACTCAAAAGTGGGACTTTTCATTGGTACAACTTCATCTGTTGATACCTGCTTTGCAATTTGAAAGAACTTATCGTCTTCTGTAGCCATATCTTGCCACAAACAAAACGGATGACGTCTGATGACTGCAATCAGGTGCTACAAGCAGTAACTTGTGGAAATAATTACCAAGTTCATTTTTTACGTTAATAAAAGCAGTCGCTGTCAAAGCCCTACCTCCCGCTGTCAAGGGTTGGGCGAGAGCCAACGAGGCAACGATACCTGATGGAGTTTGGAGGAAGGGCCAACAGTGCAGCATGGATCCTAGATTTACCTGCCACTAAGCAGTCTAATCTGGCTGACGAGGAAATATCTCAGGAGATCTCCATAAATCGTACGGACAACAAGAGAACTGCAGAACCGGACTGTATGTAGTCAATACACAACCATTTGGAAGTTACGAAAACAACAGGTAATTCCATTCAATTCATACAAATCAAAATTCTATAAAAAACAATGCTTGGCTGTATATGACACCTGAAAATTGCACAATTTATTGATTTTAAATAATAACATAAAACACCAGTAAACCAAATTTTCCTTCAATATTAATAAATCCCCCTAATAAACCAAAATCTTATAAATATCTTAACCCTCAATAATCTTGAAGCGATTCCAGTCTCTCCTGGTCTTAAAACACTTAATTTTATGCCTAAATATTTTAAAATTAATTGGCTTTTCTTGGCCTGAAACACTGTCTTATCCCTAAATAATCCCGAAGTGACTGGCTCTTCTTGTCTTAAACATGTCGTAAAAACACTTTTATCATTATAGACTTTCAAAAGTTTGATAAATGGTAATTTTGTAGTTGTCCTGTGTTATAACAATAAGATATTGTATAAGATACACCAGTAGAAGAGCTGACATTATTTAAACGAGTGATTCTCGTAAAAGATATGGTAAATATCTTCTATATTACTTTTAAATTTCATGAATATGTTATTTTTTGTTTTATTCATGGGCTTAAAAAAAATCTTTATTTTAATAATTAAACCAACAATATATTTGTTTGAGAAACAATAGTGCAAAAATTTCACCTCGCGTAAAAAGAGCATTACATTAGAAAAATTTGTCATAACTATTTCCACTTACAAAACCACGTTTTTTAATCATTTACTCTGAACAGCCCATACAGTACTTTATCCCATTCCTGGTTCTCAAAGAAATCCGAGCTACACATTCAGATGATGGAGATAGAAAATTGACCCAGGAATCATCCTGAATATATCAAATCTTCGAAAAATTCTGCATGGAAACGTCTCAAAAATAGATAGTGGTGGGTTATATCAGTGTTTGTGAGGTGAGCTGTCAAACTCGATTGCCTACATGATAACCACTACACACTGGTTACAAGAGACACATGTGGGAGTAGAGAGAGGTCGGAGGTCAATTCCACAGCAAAATTAATTTCAAACAGAGGCTTATTATAATTATAACTATGTAATGTTCTGGTGCGTTCTGTCTGACTGTGGCGATATTAATTTCATCCAAATATGATGTTTCCCCCGACGCTGATATTTTGCCTGATGGTATAATGATGTTTGCTGATGATAACTTTTTCAGCGATTTTTTGTCTTCTATTCAAATAGAGTTACTTTTCTTGATGCTGGCACTAGTTCTATATTTACTCTATATATTTTTCTTAAGACTTGTAATATTTTCTTTTTGGTGGTAAACAAAGTTTAAATCTGAAAACTGGGAGTTTTTGAACACGTTTAGTACGCAGTTCACTAGAAATACCTGCACAAGTACATAATGGTAGATAGGCCTATTCCGAAGATTTGTTCACCTTTTTTGCCTTGCATCGACAGGAACGCTTCACAGCTAAGCACTCCTTCAATATAAATTTATATTACACATAGTTTACCGATAACTTTTTCCTTTTCCATACAGTTGCATACTATGCAAGATCATTGTTTTACAGGGTCGTTCAAATGAATCGTAGCTAGAATTCGACTTTTCCAGAGTTGCAAAATATATGAAAAGAAAGAAAGGTTATAAAAACCGAAAGTGTCGATACACTAGAATGCTCTCAACGTATGAGACATATTACTCCATAAAGTTGGCGGCAAAAGCTACTCAAATTCCAAATGATATTAATTTGGGAGAATTCAATGAAACCAAAACAGTGAAATGGAGAAGAAGCAACAAATACAAACAATATAAACCACCTTAGGGAACGGCAGTGAATATAGCTTTAAATTATCAAATTAATTTTTTATATCAATACCTAGCTAAAATGTAGCATAAAATACGGTGAAGATATAGATAGTAATGGCCCACAGGGGATAAATGATATTGTGTCTTAAAAAAAAAAAATGCAAAAATTGAAGCAAATTGGGCGTTGGGGACGAGATTCAATCTAATACACGTCTCCTCCTACAGTTTCTTTCATAACAGAATTTGCTTGAATTTGATTTGATGTTAACATAGAGTTGGAATGTTTTCCCAGCACCCATCATCATAATGGCCAGTTAATAACAACAAATGTCATGCAAATCTTCTGGTGATTTTCACAATACAGTAAACAAAGTACACATCTCTTTGCCTGATTTCACATCGGTTTTTAGGCAAAATTCCTCCGACTATCATGGACCAATGTCAATATCTCCCCGTAGTCATGAATGCAGAGAAACTGTCCGAAATTAAAGGAAAACCATTTCTCATAAACACTAACCCCACCCCCTCTCCATTTCTCAATCAATAGCCTCCTCTGCTATCTAACGTCTGCCGTAGCCTCTGTTTAGTTGACGAATGCCAAACCTCACTTTATTACGCCCTATGGAACTGTCCCGAGGAATTATCGCAAAGTACACTTACACATAAACACGACTATTATCCGGATGGTTTTGAAATGGGGAATCATCAGGTTTTCTTTTATTGATTTTTTTATATTTTTTGTTTCCATTACGTATACCATGAATCAAAGACAAATTATCATTCTGCGTCAATAATTGACCTCTGTGATAGCCCGAGGGAGCAGTCATTTGTGGTGGTAGACCCTTAAGGGAGCAGTCAGTTCTGATGATTACCATCATGTCATCCCTAAATTGACTTAATCGAGTGTGGTACAACTTAGCTTATCAAACAAAATTCTCGCTATTTCTTTTTTTATATCAACAGCAATCAAAAAATGACATGCAAAATGCATCTCTGTTGATGGGATAGCTCAATATCTGGCAAAGTATGAACACATTACATAGTTCATCTACCTGAGTAGTCTGATTTTTTTGTGAACTAAGTATACTGTACGGAAAAATCTGGAGACCGAGGCTCAGAGAATAAATCTCTGAAGAATTCTTACGCATGTTAATTTTCTGTCCCACATAACCCATTTTGTCCATAATTACACACAAAATTAGACAAAGGATTTCTCAATTACTGCTGTGAATAAAATGGCCAACATTTATGTTTCCAGGTCACGGTCTGTCAATCACGTCTCTACCTAGGTGGCGCTGACTATCACCTAGAGCCTTCATGGGCCGACCGGAAGATCATTAATCAATTCCTCTGCATGACCTCTTAACACCTTTAAATTAGTAAATCCGTCAAAATCACCAGGAGGTGATCGAAATGCCACATTTAACTTGCTGATTTCGTTGTTTCTCACCTTGGTTGTCAAGGATACCTCCAACAGGGACAGTTTCATGAATAACCAAACACCCTCTAATTTAACAGTCATTAATGAACTTTCGATTCTACAGATTTTTTTTGTGTATTTAAAAACTTACGAACAAAATGTCTAATATAGTCCTGGACAAATTTAAAATGATCATTTTCTTATAGAAAATATGAAAACAATTAAAAAACTATATTTTCAAACTTACTGTATCCTAAAAAGTCTGCTACTTTGTGTTATATTACGCTGTAGAATGACATACATATGTGTCATCTCAATGACTTTTTAACACGACCACGATATCTTTGTTTTCAAATCAAAATGAAAGAGTCCGTGGAAGAAAGACACTAAAAATGATTATAAATCATTTTTTAAAAATTGATTTAATGCTTTGCATAGCCATCCAATAAGAATGTTTAATTCGTCAAAATATCATCATCAATGTCGTCATTTGATTGGTGAGGAAACCTCAAGCAGCCTTAATCAGTCACTAGTTTTATATAGATTTAGGACGTGTACATTTTGAATGGTAGTATATTTATATATAAGAAGCAACATCATGATTTAAAACAACCCTAAATTCTATGAATGACTGATATCAATGTTATCAAAAGTCTATGAAGTGAATACTTTTTTGTCAAACTTTTTAAACCAGCAATAAATGGTAAATGATTTAGTGTTGTTACACCTAGAACTCTGTTGTTATTATCTCCCCTTGATTGTATAACATTGTAATGTTACAGCTAAGACATTGAAAGAACTTATTGATTGGTATGTCTTTATATGTAAATGATACACAAAGGCCTTGGGAGATTGAAGTATATATACATGCATTGTAAAACACCAATGTGAATCGGATCAAACAAACCTTGGTTTAGCATGCTTACGTTTAAAAGTTTTCAACTATGAACTGAATCATTCTCTGTTTACAATACTTAAGAATATGCAGTTTCTAGATTTACTGACAAGTTATATTTCTGATGCCCTAATATATTGCCAAACACCAGATAATTCAGATCTACCAAAGATATGCATAATACTTCAGTCAAATAGCACAGGTTACCATGGCAACTGGTGCCGGAGTAACCAATAGTAGTGTTGCTTACCTTTTGTTCGGCTGTGCAGGTGAGATGCTGGAGCCGATTTGTCATATTGGACAGCGACTGTTCGAAGGCAGCCACCACATGAGCCTGCAAATAAAATGCGCAAAATACCGTTACTATAAATACACCAGTTGCTGATAAACTCTTGAACATCGAAAACTTAAAATCAATTTCCTAGGTGCTCATTTGAATATTCCCCAAGTGCTAATGTTACATAACTGATGATATCTTTTGACAACCTCAAAACAACCTACTGCATGCGTCTGCCAAAAGCTGGAGTCTAGCCCACCGGTACCAATGCAGCGGGGGTCTCTAAGCATGGAAGGCGCGCAATACAACATCTTATGAATTTTTGTTTCATTGACTTTTTCCTCCGTGATATGCCCTGTCTCAAACCATCACCGGGGAAATGTCTTAAACTATTGGGGCCGACATAATTTCTATTTCATGTTGTGATGTGCCACGTCCCATAGAAGACTATTAATCATTCAGTATTCCTGTCTCATTATTCCAAAAGCCCCAGACAATGTGTGCTGGAATCAGAATGGGACCGTCTCAGCTGTGTATGAAATTCCAATTTTCAGACTGCATTTCCACAACAGGAAATTCAGTATTAACACAAAATTTCCTCTATGCAAATATTTTTTCCCCAAACCATCTAATTAATGTTGCCAAGTAACCATTAAGAAATATGAAAATGATAAAAGAAATCCGAAGAAATATGGCTATTTACGAGACATCATGAAACTAGCAAACTGTTTAAAAACTGAGCTATTTATAATAACCGACAGAAAAGATGAAAGTCGACCACACTCAATGAAAAAGATATCAGGAATGTTATCACTAAAATCCCTCCGTAAATGAAAGCCTCCTCATGGCATTTGGTACCCACTGTAATCTCCAGAATTCCTAGCAAATGTCTAATGCCCAATTATTATCTTGTAAAATGTCAGTATAATTTATTGAATATTTTTTGTGTAAGTGATGCTCTTATAACTATATACCTAAGGCACTGGCTTTATCGACAGGAAATCGTTGGTAATTCCAAACAAATTTGATAGCATCATCTCTCGAAGCTGTGGTCAATTTGTGATGCTAATGAATATTCGTATTGACTGGCTGTTTACATCTCTATAAACCATTATATTTAGTGTAAATGTCTGTTACTGTTAAACTAAATTCACAAGTCTATAATCTTGAAAGATAAAATGGCTTGTCAAAATTCCTGGGTCCAAGAATTTATTTTTAGACAGGTAATATATTTCAAAGTATGTTGGAATTTGAATGTTTTGTTGACTGCAGTTTTGCACCTACAATATCTGGCACAACTTTTCTTTATAAACACAACTCTGACGGCAGTCCTACAGTACGGAAATATATTATCAATAATCTTTATTATGCCTTCTACGAGTCACAGCATGTCAAACTAGAAAAAGGATGGATTGCAAAAGTCTTAGGCTCTTATATCTGTACATCTGCTCGGGTGCAGTTACATGGATCATACTGGCGTGAATCATCTATTCAGTCAGCCCGATAATGTATACAAATCAAACTGTTTATGTCCCGACACATTGACCACAGCCCGAGGCAATCTAATCCAAGAAACTCTTGTGAATTACAACACTTCCTAGGGCTCCCAACGAAATATTCATAAATAATCCCGGAAATAAATCAATTCATTTCCGTCCCATTATCAACACGAGAGCGTACCTCGGAGTATTGTTAATTTGTCTGCCTTAGCAAGCAATTACACAGAATAGCAGAGGATATATGTAACTAAGAGACCGGCTTATTTGTAATTCATAACCCAATCCTCAATTCCTGCTTCCGAAGTCTCGCTTCCGACATCCTAATCCAACGAGAAATCTCAATCTTGACTCCTCTCCAAACTGTCGTGGAGAATTTTACCGTGTTGTATAATCGCAGACAATCTCGGAAGAAATCGTAATCAGTACGCAGGAGAAGGAAACAGAAGATCATGATGCTAATGAGACCATGATATCCTCTGGGACGCTTCCTAATACAAGATAAGGCCGGAAAAGGGAACAAATGCTCCGGGAATATCGGAAATAAATAGCATACAAGCATGAGAATTCTACCTAAAGACAATGCAAATTTGGAACAAAGTCTCAATTGTGAAATCCATTTTGAACCTCAATTTGAATACATTACCAAACTTTCACAGATTTCATCCAATTAAGCAACCTCTAATTGGTTCAATGCTGGTGCGATTTTTCAAAAGCTCTGTTTAGACAAGTTCACTCGAGATCATGCAATTTAGATTTAGCCCCATTTAGCAATTTGAAAAAAAAAAAAAAAAAAAAATAGTTCACAAGGTTTTTAGGGAAACAAATGGCTTCTTTGCATCAACAAATCCGTTTGGATTTGAAATCTTTAAAACCAGTTTCTTCCAGGATAACAAGCAGGGCTGCTTTTAAGTGTTGTGTTCCGCTGAATCAAGATAATATTTCAATGAGAAATTCAAGACAACTTGACTTTGTTACATGAACTGGAAAAGAAAAAAATGTCAACATCTAAGATGACATTATAGTCTGTTTGGCAATATCCAAAATTTGACGGTCAATTTTTATTTTATTTTATTTTAAATGAAAGAGTGTCATGAAAACAAAATTTGAAGCTTTACAGCTAAAATATCATTAAATCAAAATGGAAAGCATGATTATCAAATTTTCTGAATTTCATTTTCGGATAGAAGACAGTATTGATCTTTTTAAGAGAGTGCGGCGGGCGAGAGAAATTTGACATGGAATATCAGGAGAACAAAAGCATTGTTTTTTATTGATCACAGTGTCACACAAGGTCACAATGTTTACAAAATTAGACACATTTTTTATTCAATCTTTATTTGATAGAAAAATTACCATAATTCCACTATCTACGCAAAACACGTAACTGTTTTCTTTTCAGAAGTGTAGTATTCTGGGCTTTTGGCCAAAATAACAGCAATTTTGGCTTCATCACAAGCTTTTTTATCAATGTTCTCTCGAGATTTAAACTCGACTGATCAAAGTAATAACCCATATTGTTGGTTCGTGGGATCTCCCGGCTAAACAAAGGGATTTAGTTTGAAGATTCGTGCATCACAAACAGCTACAAACCATCAGTTCTGTTAAATCTTCCAGTGAAAGCCTTCCACCCTCCTCCCTGCACCCTGATTAAGGGTCCAAGAAATATGGCCTGGATTAAGCAATATACGTTCTGACATCTAAAACTGACAATCATATCTGAATAAAGAATAAGTTCCAGGTGTAGGTTCTTCAGTCAGGTATATGGTATTTTGGGAAGATTTTATGATTTTATTTGTTGGAAGGATTTGATTCTGCAAGTAAAACAATTTTGAAAAGCTTCATGTTCTGTAAGCAAACTTGCTGGATCAAACAAGTATAAATTACAAACTGTTAATCTTACATGAAAAAAATATCTATCAGGAATTAATCTCGATCAAATAATATATCCTATTCCCAATATCAGAGTTATCCCCCTTTTTGGAGTTTCTCTTCCGACTTATTACATTTATGCATTAAAAAGTAATGGATTTTGGTCAAAATAAAATAAAATTTAATAATTTCTGATCATGTAGGAATATTTAAAAACTTTTAATACAAATACGTTTTTTGTTGATGGAGTTATCTCCCATTCACTCGAGACAAAACTTTAGACCAGTTGACCTTTGACTGGGGTTGTGATTGGGATCTCCACTAGTGCCTTGATGGTCATAAATGTCGGTAAGAGACTTTCATCTTCCCTTACTAATCTGTGACAAGTACCTCTGTCACTATTGATTAAATTCATCTTTTTATCTTCACAGAATTCTCACCGATTTCCTAAGAGCTAGTATACGTTAGCTAGCCTCTGCTAATATACCACAAGCATTTGGAAAGACTAAAAACTTTGGAGTTACCATTCCAACCGATTTGAACCCCACCAGATCAGATAGAAGGTGATCCTTTTAATGACGTACTTTGAGTCAAACTTCAAGTCAAGAATCTCAACCACTGCCGTTTAAATATGACAGAATTCTCTTCCGAAATGTCGGGACCATTATAGACGGAAGGGTTTATTTCAGATATCAAGTTCAAGGGTCATCTTCTGATTGTACATTATGATGACCTTGTACCTCAGTGCAGACATGATATAAATCAAAATCATGAAAGAAAAGTTTTAAAAGGCCTAGACTCAAGCTGAGAACTTCCAGGTGTCCAACTATTAAATGCAACTTCATTAATGACATCATGGATCTTCCCCGAGGAAAGAAACAATTAAATGTTATTTAAGTTCCTCCCTTTCAGAAATGTTATTAGCAACAAATCTCTGTTGCTTAGGCTAAATGTGAAATCTTTCTAATGCTGATTTTTTTTGGTCTCCCCCACATGAACTTCAATCTTCAATCCATACTGCCAACATCAGACTTACAAACGCTAATAATCCAATTAATGTTTGCATGCAAATCAATTCTGCTGACATAGCATGCTGGCTGGTGCAGTTTAAATCTGACCCTTGATCTCTGATGTATGTGAACCTTGACCTTTGCATGCATTGACCTTAAGATTTACTACTGTAGTACAACTGACCCATGAATCTTTCTGACATTTATTTTTCTGGCTATCTCTCCAGGTCACTCAGTATCTGGTCCTACCAACAGATAGCAGATACAAGATGGACTAAATCTGTCATTTGATTGGTCGAGACTGACAAACTCTTCCGTCTGATTGGCTACATTAGCTCAATTAGTATTTGATGATAACAGCCCTGACACCTGGATCAGTCTACTGTTAGTACATGTTCCCTGAGCCAGATAGGGGACGATTCTGGTCAGTGACGAAGTCTTAATGGTCCAAAACCACTGTGAGTCAGAGTCACTTTTGCTCTTGAAGCAAAACAGATAAGACATTAGTTAAACTCTAACAAAGCATGACCAGAATGGCCTGCGAGCTGTAGTCATGGGAACAACAAATTGGGCCTAAAATACTTCAGATTTGCTCCACCTATTACTTGGAGTCCATCTTAACATGCTCCAAATATCATAGCAGTAACACCAAAATCTAAGATTGTATTACACACAACGT